AGTACGGACGTAGGTAGGATGCCATTCAAGATAGTTAGTACGTACGTACCTGTGTTCCTAAGAAGTGAAGGAAGGTATTCCGTACAGTGCATCTAGGCAGACTGCACAACCACCTCGTATGGACTGAGTAGGCAATATGTTCATCTTTATATTTACGTAATCCGTAGACCAGGTAGTCTTGCGGGGTATGTACCGAGTCTGGAGTAAATTATCCTGTACTTCGTGCATGGCGTCGTTGGTTGACCGTTTGCAAAGCTCTTGCTATTCGCTCTGGTCACTCCTGGCATTGGTCATCGATAAAGTAATGACCTATGACAGTATCGCATTACAAATGTATCAACGGTCAGATGGAGGATTATTTCTCAGAATTTTGTACCTATAGTAGCACGTAGCCGTCGTCGACAACGGACAAATAATCCACCTCAAGTACCTACATTGCCGTACGGAACAGTGTTGGTACCTATAGGGCCGTTCCATAATCCGTGCCTTGGCAGAAGTCGGCAGAGCCAGTCTCCGACCAACCATCCACCGGCAAACTTTTAGTATCGTAGAACTTGTCTATACATAGCTATGCAGTAGTAGATACCTAGGCAGATTCATGGTTGGCTTTTCTTTTCTTCCAAACCCTGGCCAACTTTTTGGAGGTACCTACATGCCTCCACAATAATAAGGCTACGAGTCTAGAACTAAGAATTCCTATAGTGTATGGCGTGACAGTGAATCAATACCTATGTGACTACCTAGGTATGATGGGTAAACAAGATGGACAGGCAATCCCTAACTATCCTGAGAGCAAGTAAACAGAGGTCATCTGTTTAGGTATCACATGCTGTGTAGCCCCGACTTCCGAGTAACATGGTGTAAGCTGATTATTTCTGTACTGGGAAGTAGAAACCACGTATTTAGTGGAATTAGGTACATATACGGAATCCGTACCTACCTAACGCTATTTATTCCGTACGCGAGGTCTTAGGTTAGGTGGGCTCGGTAAGACCAGGGGGATTGTGGGGCCCGCTTCCCCGAAACTACCTACCTATACATAGGAACGGACGATACTTGCCTACTATGTATAGGTATCTATCTTAGGTACCTTGTAAGTAAGTACGGACGTAAGTAGGTAGGCAGCGCCAAGATATGGATGTGATCCCTCATCCAACCGGGCCGGTTGTACTCGAGAGGTAACTAGTATTACCAACCTACACACACCTTACCCACTTCCGATTTGAGCCTGTAAGGTAGGTAGACGAGACTCCGTGCCAGCAAAGACCCGGCAAGGAGGACCGAGATTGTTCCATCTATACATTATCTTACACGTTGGTGCTTTGTCACCATCAGACAAAGGGTGGTGGGGAAGCTCAATTTGCTGTGCCATCGATGCCGATGTTGTTGGTCTGTCCGGTCTTCTGATGACATTATTAGAGTTCTCTGCAATGGTGCATCAGCCAAACTATTATTTACCATTCATCAAGGGTGGTCAGGGGGTTTAATCGTGAAAACGCCACATCATATTCCGTATTCGCTGCCAGAACTTGCCGCAAACTAGTTCCCTTCGATCCTGACCCGGCCACGTGTGGACGGCTCTCTCTGCTTTCCTCGATGCGAAGCTAGAATCACCTGGGCCCTTGAAATTTGAGCCATTCGATACCTATTCCTTGTTCCTAAAACTGCCGGCCTGACTCGGCGGCGGCACATACGGCCACGTCAGACAGCACAGACAGCGCATGTCTCCAATCCAACAAAACCCCCCTGGGCGCCTCCGTCCGACCCTATTGGGCCTTGCTCTCTGTCTGTCTTCGTTCCAACACGGCTCGTCACATCAATTCGATCATCGATCTGTGCAACTTCGATCCTTTATCCCCTCCTCACGACAACACTAGACCTTAATAATAGGGAAATACCCATAGCGGACTTACTCCTTTAAAGCGGGTACCCCGTCCTCGCTGCCTGCTTTATACTTTAATACCAATCGTTGGATGATGGCTTTTGCGATTCAAGTTCTTGATTCCCAAGACATTCTAGATTCAACCAAATTCTCTCACTGTCGGCTTTGGCCCAAGGACATACCTACAACAAACACAAACGTCTAAGACGGGAGAAGGCCACAAACACACCAACATATTGTGTTGTCGAACTCTTAGTTAACCTACGAGAATCGTGTATCAGAAACCTTTCCTTCTTCTTTGGCTCTAAACCAAGAACTCGCCATGCACGCACGACCTGGAACTCCGTTGCGCCCCAAGGGCATCCTCAAGAAGCCTAGTACCATAGACTTGCACATGCGACCTCGAAGTTTGTCATCATCATCGAAGAAGAGCACCGCGTTTGATGATGTTGCCCGGGATATCGTGACCGGAGCCGAGGTGCCGCAGAGTCCGCTTCACTCCTCCGAATACCGCGCTTTTCACAAGGAGTACCGCCAGGAAGCCGGCCGGGCCCTTCTGCTGGCTAAAGTCGATGGGATGTATGATGATCTCATTCGACGACTTGAAGTGCGGGTTGCATCATAAACTCAACTTTTCTCTTACCTTTCATGGCGATATGAAGACTGGGCAAGCAATTAGATAAGGGATGACCACACGGCGTTACGCGGGGGATGTTGAGTTATTGTACAACAGCGCGGCAATGCGACGATTTATTCTTTGAAAGTATACCCCTCGGGCGGCGGAAGAGTCGTGACGTATTTCCAGCCTTTTGCGAAAGCGTCCACAGCCGACTTGAATGTCGGCGACTCTATATTGGGTTCAACATCATGGCGTTCTTTTGTCTGTTTATTACTGCCCTCCCACGGATAGGGCTAGGGGATTCAATTTCTGATGGGAAACAGGCTTGGTTAAAGGGACTGGGTACAACAACACTGCGATCTCCAGTCCTGGTTTTGTTGCAGTCATGCGAATAGGACTTGGACTTGGGCAGGCGTAGTTTTGAGTGGAAGACAAACTTCAACAACAGGAGTAACGGACAAAAAGGGGAAAAGAAAAATCGATTGAGGGAACAAGTAAGGGGGGTGTGTGTAAGCTAAGATGGATTGCATTGCATTGGTCTGGTCCCCAAATTGCCTTTACACACCATTTCAGATGTCACTACCAGCAGTTTTAGTATGCTTGTTGTACAGAATCCCCTCCCCCAATATATTTTCCCGTCCAATCTTACTACCCTCCTCCACCTTCTGTCACCTGCCCTGCTGTTGTTTCTTTTTCAGCCCTCTTTGACCTCAACATTGGCACGCAAGGCGGCGTATCACCATACTTTTCTTCAATGTTTTCTGCAGCAAACCCAGCGTGATCGAGAATCTCCATGCCACGACCGCCGCCATCAAGATAACAGGCGTAGTTGAGGTCATCAGCGAGCTTCGTGGCCCAGTCCACAAGCGCTGAGGCGTAGCCTTTGTGGCGCGATGTTGACTTGGTAACTAGGAATTCGATATCTTACACATGCCGGACAGAGTATTAGTTTCTGCAGGTCCTACAAATTGCATAGCAGGAGCTGTACACACGGCTCTCATTACGCTGGCACAATCATGCATCTGTTTGATGTGGTTTGATGTGGGAAGGATGCTTGCTATGAGAGGAGAGGGGTCGATCGGTGAAGAGCACTTACACACGTGCCCCTCCTTGCCAATGGTCAGATGATGCGCCCTCGCCAAGGGCTCAAAGAAAGCCGACAGCTTTTCCTCGCTGACGTCAGGCAGGTCTTCGGCAGCGCTCCAACGTTGCTTCCAAGAGCTGCCTACGACGATCTGGCCTGGTTTCACGACGTGAACGATGGCGAATGAGACTGGTCGTCCTGTTGTTTTGTTATGATTCGAATATTCAGCTCAGCTCAACTTGGGCTGCAGGTTTGATTGGCTCGGTATCACGAATGTTTACAGCATCTCATTCGCCGCAGTCGTTCACTCTGACCGAACCCGGCAAACAGGAATCAAACTGCGACATTCATCCGATGAAATAGAAAACCAACGTAAAAGCAACGCCACAACTGCTTTCTTTTGCTTGATCTGGTCAATGGAACGTACCGTTGGCATTGCGCACCACTGGCACCCTACCCTGCGCATGATACTGCGATTCCTTGCTGAGGAAATTGTTGAAGCTGCGCTCCAACCACTTGCGGCCGCCATCCGTGTGCGGGAACGTTGATTCAGCAGGTCCACTGAACGCCTCCCAGAAGATGGTGATCAAATCAGGAATATCGTTGGGCTTCGCTAAGCTCACGTTGAGCGCGCTTGTGTCGCTATCCGTGGACGTAGCCATCGTGTAGACGGTGCAAATTTATCACGAGCTGCGTGTCTAACCGAGTTGTAGTTTCTCTGATGAGTATTCCGTTTTGATGCGCTGATTGCGTTGTGATGACCCGACTAAGGCGATGTACAGAATGGAACACCGATTAAGGATTAACTTGTAGCACGGGCTATTACGGTACAATTGCGGACAGAACAAGCTTCAGAGACGCTCAGATAGTTCCGATAGGGCGCCGGTCGATTGTATCGTTTAGCATGTGAGATGCCATACGTGGTGACCCGTTTTTGATTTAAGGTTGGGCGGCGTTGAGATAACACCGTCGCAAGCCTGTCGTCGTCTCTACTATGGGGATCAGCCCCTAGGTTTCTCGAACCTTGATTGATCTCTTTTTACCAGTTACATAGTCCTTGGATGTCATTGCGCGTCATCGACCTGGAACAGAAGACATTATTGAAGTGGCTCCCTGGATTTATGCTATGGCCCTACAGGCGAGGCATAGATATGCAATGACACTCGATATCGTAATACGATTTTCAGTCCAAAAAGCCTCTGAGAGCAGGAGTTAGGTTAGGTTTTGAAATATTCATACGGATCCGTACGGACGTACAGTCAGTCAATTGTGCAACGGTTAGGTCCGATACCGTCACGACCTAGCGAAATTACCAGGTATTCTCATAGTAGAAGCCGAAACACCGAATCTCCACCAAACCCCCGGGACCCAGGATGAAAAGTTTTCAATATGGCCTCGCCTCCCAACCATCACTTGCCCGGTTAGCTCAATCGGTAGAGCGTGAGACTCTTAATCTCAAGGTTGCGGGTAAGTCCTACGTTCATATTGCGAAGCATTAGAAATCGAACTTAGCTGACAGAAAATCACAGGTTCGACCCCCGCATCGGGCTCAATTCCTGATGCCTCCCAATTCTGGGAGCATGTAGGGTAGTCGACAACGACAAAGAGGACATGACATCCCGCCGAGTCAAAATGTCAGCTGGCGGCCTCAATAAGACTATACCACGAAGCATTTTTACAGTATGAAACAAGAAAGGGATTCCAAGGGTTGTGTTCGTATAGTAGTGCTACTTGGCATCTAGTACCTGCTACTTCAGTGGCAGACAGTCAAACCGTGCAGTTTGCTCCACTGCCTATGACACTCACCTGAAGCGCTCAGATTCCAATGATAATTGCTGATGCTTTACAGCTTACTACCGGACCAGATAGCAGCAATCAATTAGCTGGTTACCAATATCGGAATTGATGGTTATGCCTACACTTATACTCAAAACCAGGTCGGTTACCATGAGCTGACTGCTTACCTATGTCCATGGCTATGTCAAAATGGCGATTCCATACTTGTTCTTTACCAGCCGAGTTTGTCACTCAGGAAACATCAATATGTAATTAATGCGACGGTCCGTAGTAACATGGAGGGTCATGAACAATGATTAAGACTTTAATATCCATGTGCTGCCCGTTTACTCAGGAGCGGCGTTCTCAAAGTTCAGTCTCTGTTCCCCAAGTATGTGGTTTTCAGCCTGGACTTCGTGCTCCATCAATGCTACAGATTCAAAATTTCCGATCCTCGTCATCCGTCGCTTCAGCTCAGCCAATCCGCCTGTCACGGGCTTAGAAGCCTTATGTAGACCTGTCTGATTCCCTTGATCAATATGCTGCTGAACAGCTGTGCGAAGCTGGTTATAGTAGCTGGTAAATGGCCATTCTGCGTCATCCTCCCGCGTTCTGTCTAGGCCAAAGGTCGACAGCACCTCCTCGCACCACTCTAAGGTCGATTGAGGAAGATATTGATCGATGTCGACGTCTTCCAGGAGATTTTCAATTTCCGAAAGAGCCTTAACATCAACTGGTAGCCCCCACTGCGACGCAAATGCTGGGTCTGGTGTAAAGTAGTTTTCAAAAGGCCGACCTTTCACACAGTTGGCCCGATTGGGCTGGGCACGTATCTTGTGGCTATTCCAGCGCCTTATAAAGAAAGTAATCTCTTGTCGAATGACGGGCATGTATACTGATAAGAAGGCGATCTCGCAAACCTCGTCCCCATGAATCCAAAGTCGACGATGCTCCATACGTTCAAATAAAACCTCAGCTTGTTAGTGCACATTTCATGTCGGAATGAATTTTCACTTACAATGCAGCGCATTAAATATGTTTTTAACAGCTGTGACCACCAGTGCTCAATTCTCGTGTTGTCCATACTCCTGCCATAGTGGAAACAGTCACCGAAGAGGATAGGTGAGCCGTCTTCATTCATGTGACTTTGCCGAACAAGTGCCCAGTGAGCAGCGGCTAGCAAAGGCACTTCTTTTCCTCGGTCAGCTCGAATAACACGTGGGACATAGCCCAGATCATGAACAACGCGCAAATATTGCTTCATAGTGGTGAGGGCTGTACTTCCAAAGTAACCCACATGGCACCAAATCATGAAACGTGAGTATCCATCTATGCCACCATAAATGTGTATTCCCCAGCGTTTAAGCTTGTCGTGACCATCTATACTCCAGACTTGGTTGGGTCCATATACTATGAACTCGCCTTTGCGACGTTTTTCTTGCCAGTAATGTCGAAGCTTGATTTCGGGCCGGAACTCTTTATATATTTCGAATATAGTGTCACTATATGAGTTAGGCATACTATATACTTCTGAGTGACTTCACGTACCGGGAAAACTGCTGTCCATCATCTTTTGCATAATCGTATAGATATCCTCGGCCGTAGTCTGCCAGCCGATTTGATTTTTCGAATTGCATAGCAAACCAGGCCCGACACTCCATGAGCTGGTTTTCCTTTTCTGCAGAGGTACTTATACGTCGTTTCAATCCTAAGTGCTGGCGAACAGATCTGAGCTGGCGAGCAGTGATAGAATGTCCTGCAGCATGGAGCTTTTGAAGCATTGCGCTGTCACTATTATTCAACTTGAAAAATTCGAACTGAATAGCGGCAACAAGAGTGTGTGTCATGACATCGCTAAGTCGTTTATGTTTGGTTATACCTTGTTTCTCCAGGTATCGGCGTAGGGTGCGGCAATCTGGTTTTTTTTTGCAATATGGCTGGAGTAAAGCACATATCTGTGACTGCGTATACCCTTCAGCAACCCAAGCGCGAATTTTCTCGTCATATTCTTCCAAGCTGTAACTTGCTGGAGGCATTGCGGAACTGGATAATGATTTTCAGGTGTGGAACAGCGATACTGGTGTTGGGGGGAGTAACTGGTAGTCGTGATGAAATAATTCAGATAGGAGAACGACGTGGAAATAAGAAAACACAGGATGAAAGCACACCACGATGAAATGAATATCCAGGTTTCCGGGCTGAAAGGACAGCTCCGATGGCCTTCTCATCAAGTAAAGCTTCATAGCATGTCCGAAATTTGAAATGATGTTATATCTTCACACATTCTTGGGCCGGTCTCCCTTCAGTTGAACCTGGCAACTGAATCATGACAATGTCTCACATGACAACTAAAATTGTACCGCCATTCCGTTTATCTGGGAGGCATAGGGCGTCAAATCCATATTCATTGGGGGTACTTTATCCCTAGATATCTCATTCTGTTTACATTTCTCCTGTCTCTCATAGCGGTATGTAACTTACACAAAACATACTATTGGTTACCCTATCTGTACTTTTTGTTGAGTATGACTATGACAGCAAGCCGGCATATATGTTTGTCTTTTAGGAATGACAATGTCTCATATCTATCGGCTTCATCCTCTTGGGCTAGATACGATGCCTGAGAGTGGAATTGTTTCAATGTGGGAACTCACAAGGGCATCCACTACACCCTACTCTCATTCGGGACTATATACAGCATTGCCCGAGTTATAAAGACTCATGTATAGGTGTACGCATGGCAGCTCTGCATGAACTTATCATCGGCATAGGTTTTATTCAACAACACTCCTAGGAACTTTCATATCATTCCATAAGCTATGTCGGATCTTTGCCCCTCTTCGGGAGCATTCAGTGCGTCCCATACAGCCATGAAGGCTCAAAGTTTGAGCTTTTGTCCTCATTGCGGCATTTCACTTGCTATGACAGCTGAGTATCAGAGTGTAGAAGCATTGATTATCAATGACTACGATGATTCTTTCACTATAGGGCGGTCGACCTTTGTCCCTCGTCAACGGAGTCGGCCAATTGATCATCGGACTGCCGCTGATAAAAATGCACAAGGTCCTCGCTGTCTACCGCCCCCAACACTTGTTCCCCGTATCAAACATGAAGATACGCCATCTGCCACTACACAGTGTTCGTCTTTTCTAGAGGCAGCACGAGTTTCGAATCAAGCCATTGAAAAATCTATTAAGTCGACACAATCGGACAGTGGCTCAGCCCAATTCTTCAAATTTACGATTGAAATCAGCACGACAAACTGGCTTGTTGATGACAACCACTACCTTCCTATCGCCTCATATGTGCCGAATTCTAAAAAAGTCATTTCATACTACAACGCATCCTTCAAAGCTGCTCCTATCGCTGGGGTGCAGGATTGGTGGGAGCGGTATGGACGGCTGAACTTTCAAAGAGCCCATCCCGACCTACAACCTCGACTCGGTGACAAAGTAGTCAGCTTCTACTATAAGCTAGACAACGCGAAAAGTCCTATGGATCTTCCTTACGAGATCAGTCAGGCCTCGACAATAAGAGCGCTGTGGAATGGGTGCCACAAGGTGACATCCTATAACAATAGCGAACACCGGGGCATATATGTTACATATAAGAACATTAGCCACATTGAGCGGTTTGACGACATTGAGGCTCATAACAATACCAATACGTTGCTCGACGACAAAGACAATAAGAGGGGCAAGTCCGTTATTAAACATGAAAAACGAGAGGAATCAGCATCCATTATCAAGCAAGAAGACATATGTTCTCACATAATTAAGCGAAGAGCATCGGCCTCAATGTCACCAGGTTCAGACAGCTTTCGGCACAAGAACCCGCACCGTAATGCCGAGTCTGATATTGAGGAGGAAGATCTGCCTACGTTAGAGGCTTTTGTTGAAAAAAGTAAGGGAAAAGCAGGAAAGGCTTCCGCTTCCTGTGCATCGGGTACAGGTGCGGTTTCCGTACTATCAGAGGATAATCATGATGCATGTAGTGACCTCGAGGATGAACCAGTGCGTGTATCATTGCGAAAAAATAAGGCGACAAAAAAGAAAAGATATGGAGATGATTGAGGTTCATTAGTATGAAAGTACGAGTTATAGAGACAAAAACTCAGAAGAATCGCCACATTCACTGCTGTAAACTCCCTAGTTCCGATAGTAGTCAGAATCGCATTGTTTTTACATGTAATCATTCACTTATAGCTCAAAAGTCAATTGAGTCAATCGCTTTTACCCCTTACGTCCACTACTTTGATGTCGCTTCACCCTACTGGGGTTGCAGTATACGTACGCAAGGTACCTAGGTAGGTAGGCACATGTATGATAGACATTTCTAGGGTATGGTTTTCTTTCATACTGTGGGAGATCGACTGTGCTTTTCTCCTGCCAGCTGCACCTTTGATCATGTCCTCTTTGTCGTTGTCGGCCACCGTAGCATGTGACCTTACTTTTTTCTTTTCCTTGGCCTTTTCTGGCTGGCTTTACCTGATTTTTACTCGATCGTATTCTTATGTGGGTGTGTGTATGATCCGAATCGGTCCGGCAAATGTGTGTTGCACGACTCTTCAATTATGTTGCCAGCTGTAGGTGCTTCGTATTGTGTCACTTTGTACGGACTTCGCAGATTCTAAAAATCTGTATGGTATGCCGTACATAGGAAAGAAAAGAGGGGGAAGGGAAAAGGTGATTGTAGAATTTTTTTATAGAAAAGGATCGACAAGAAGAAAGCGTATATATATATAAACCCCCGACTGTCTAGACCTGTTCCTCTT